GAGAGAGAGAGAGAGAGAGAGAGAGAGAGAGAGAGAGAGAGAGAGAGAGAGAGAGAGAGAGAGAGAGAGAGAGAGAGAGGGACGTAGTCTCAGATACGGTCAGATGCGTTTGGGGAAAGGCACTGTCTTTTTCTGCTGGGCCAAAAGGAGATTGCGGGCGAGGAGGGGAAGGAGGAGAACGTGGGGGAGTGGGAGGAGGGGGATGGGAAGCGTGATGGAGGGGAGGTGGCAGAGAACAAGCGCGAGGAGGATGAGCAGGTGAGGGAGCTGGAGGGGGGGCAGAAAGGGAAGGAGGATGGCGATGAAGTGGAGGAAGACAGCGAGGAGGAATACGTGTGCATTGCGGCTAAGCCGCGGTGGGCAACCGCTCGTTATTAATAGAGAAAAGGAGGTGATGCCGGAGCGAGAGATGATGGTGGCGAGATATGGAGGATGTTCTTATTCTTCTTCTCTCCTCCGTTCTCCTTTGTTCCGCAGGTCCTCCTTTATCTGAGTTGTGATGGATGGCATTGTCTCATATTTGGGTTTTCCAACATGAAAGGCACATGATCACAGCAGCTCTAGATGACCAAAACCCCATAGGACCAAGCACAGGCTTTGGGCTACCAACTGTGGACTGGTCTATTGACTCCTGGACTATCAATCAATCACATGAACTTTCAGATCCAATTTCGATGTCTTTAATGAGCCCGATTCTTTTATTTGATGTTTCACTGGTTGAGCATTCCAAGTGCATGTAGCTCATGCGCACAGACTGGTGATGAAACATTTGCCCCTGGATTACTTGCAGGTTGTTTGCCAATTATTCTGTGAGTGTATTTCATCTGATAAACATGATTCCTTGCACAATTACAAACCAGGTCCCATCACTTGGGCCCCATCACTTGAACCCAAACACCGACGATCATGAACAACAATCAAAATAGCTTAATAGTTCAAAGTTGAAGGACAAACCTAAACCTAAACCTAAAAACCTCCAACCAACACAGCATAGCATAAGCGACAGATGCTAGGCTCGAGCAGTTGAAAGTTAAGACTGAAGCTAAAAAAAAATGCACTAAAAATCTCCTACCCACACTGCATACCATAAGCGGCATATGCTTGGCTGCATAACACAAAAATTTCAGTTAAGATGATGATTCCTTGAGCGCAACACAATGCCTTGGGGATAGGCCTATGCCTCACCACGAGCAAAGTGGGCCCCAAGGAAGGCAACACCACTGCTCGTCATGACGTCTTCCTCTCCGGTGACGATTCCTGACCGTTCGACGCATTTCCGTTTCGTACACTGCCCGGCATCTCCTTAACGGCCCTCCTTGCTCCCTCCCTCCTCTCCCAGCCTGGTCCTACTTCCAGAAAGCAGCTCAAGTTAGTCACATGACAACCTCACTCCTCATGTATTTAGAGATCTCCTCTGCGCTCTCATATGCTGCCTCCACACATCGGCCAAGAGCAACCCCAGCAACGTAATTGCCTCCCAAAAATAATCCCTTCAGTCCGACTTCTTCCAGACCCTTCTTAGCATCTTCCAACAAATCCAAATGACCGACGTTGAACTGTGGGATTGCTCGCGGCCATACACGAACACCGTGCACACGTGGAGTGACTGCATCCTTCTTCAGGATAAGATTCCTTAGATCCGCATCAACTCTCTTCACTATCTCTTCCTCATCCTGCAAGGGAAGGCGAGGTTGGACAAGGACAGGAAAAGAAAACAAAAGCGCCTTTTGTTAGCTTATCACAATTCTCAGCTCACAGAAATCAGAACGTACACAGTCCGAAAACAGGAAAGCAGTCTCTATGCACAGGCAAGAAACCAGAATGGATCGATGGAAAGGCTGTTCAAATCACCTGGTCGTCATCTCTTCACAATTCTTCCAGCCCAGCCCCCAATTTCTCAGATCCCTTACCCCCCCCAATGCCCTTTCAAATGCTCCAGCCTATCTGTCATAACCCTCAACAAACGGGACAGGCACTCAGTGGACCGGACACACATCATGGAAAATGTCGAGGCATAGGCGGGGGAAACCACAGAACACATCAAACAGCAAATCCGGACAGAACTACTAGCTAGATGGCACGAGCCCAAGACCGTTCTGGACCAACTCCACGACCCAAAGGACATCCGGCGATGGACTACTTAATCCTGTCAGGACTGGGAGGGGATGAGGGTAGTGGGGTTGCTTCAGTCGTCTGCACGGGAGAAGGGGACTGACGGCAGGGTCAACAACTGCAGAAGGATTCTGGACCAACTCCACAACCCAAAGGACATTGGGAGACGGATTACTTAATTCTGTCATGACTGGCTGGGAGGAGATGAGGGTGGTGGGGTTGCTTCTGTCGTCTTCCCCAGAGAAGGGGAACGCCGGCAGGGTCAACAACTGCAGAAGGATTCTGGACCATTTCCAAGACCCAAAGGACATCCGGAGATGGATTACTTAGTTCTGTCAGGACTGGACGGGAGGGGATGAGGGTGGTGGGTTTGCTTCTGTCGTCTGCCCGGGAGAAGGGGAATGCCGGGCAGGGTCAACTGCAGAAGGATTGTCGGCTTCAGTTTCACGATTCGACCTCGGTGAACCCTGATTTTCCCCTTTGCCTAGCCCTGAATTTCCCAGATCCCCTCCCCCCCAACACCCTTTTGACTGTTCCGGCCTATCTGTAATAACCTTTAACAAATGGACCAGATGCCCCCCAGCCACCCTCATCTATAGCCTGGCCCCAAGAAACCGCAACAAGGTGCCCGCTTTGCAAGTAGTTCAGGCGGGCCCCAGTACGGGCTGAAGAGGCAATCTTCAGTCACCAGTGGCAGTTGAGCCCCTGAATTCTCAGGGCAATCAACGTGCTGCTGCTGCTGCTAGGTCGCATCCATGCTAAAAAACATTTAGTTACAGGCTTACGGCAGTTTTTTCATGAGTACCCTTTTCCTGTTCTTAGCCGAAGCAAGGTAATCGCCCCGGTATCTCAAATTGTTCTGTACATTTTCAGAGGGGACACTGGACCCAGTTCCAAGCACGTGCTGCTCCATACAAATAGATTGGCGCATTGGCTTTTTTTTTTTTTTGTTTAAAAGAAAAGAAGCATGTCAAATTTCGATGTACCGCATGCTCTCACAGTAGAAGAACCAGTGGCCATCGGGTTGCCGTGCCCCTTGTAGGTCCGGAAGGTGGGCAAGAAAAACAGTTCAAGTAAACAGCCTGAGGTAGGTAGTGTGAGATAGACAAACACTGAGTGAAGAAAATAGCGTAGTATATGCAGCTGTCCCCCACGTGTGAGTAGAAAATGCAGCTTGCATCTTTTTCAACACACAAATAAAGTTTAATAAACACACTTAAAGTTTAATAAACACACAAGAAACAAAAAGAAAAGAAGAACAACCACTGGCCATAAGACCGGAAATCCCAGCAGAAAGAAAGGAAAAAACTTCAAAGAAGGAAAGGACTGACCAAAGGAAATGAAAGAGGGGGGTGGTTTTGCATATTGTCTTCTGACCTGAGAGAGAATCTGGGGGTATGTTGCACCTCCAATGTAATTCAGCAGCAGTACCCGCTTTTCGGGAGCCCTGTTTGGAAAGAGGGAGGAACTGTAAATGGTCCCTGTGCACAGAGTGAAGCCATACCCACAGAGAAAACCGGGCTTCAGAACCAACAATTTATGCATACTAGGGGACCTGTTGCGGCTACGCCCGCAATAAAAATGGAATGTTTGCCGAGAAGTTGGACTCTCTCTCTCTCTCTCTCTCTCTCTCTCACACACACACACACACACACACACACACACACACACACACACACACACACACACGAAGGTGCCGATGGACTCTCTCTCTCTCTCTGGTTCGCGCACAGGCATGCCGATTTTACACTCTTTTTTTCTTCTTTTTAATTGGTCCCGATGGACCATCCTGCTCAAGCCCGTGTCTACTCCCTCCCTCTCCTGCCTTCCCGTCCTCTCTCTCTCTCTCTCTCTCTCTCTCTCTCTCTCTCTCTCTAGCACACGCGCGCCCTTTTTTTCGGTTTGTCCGTCTCTTTTTTTTTTGGGTCCCCATGGACCACGGAATATGGTATGAAACCGATCGGTACAGATAAGACACGATGGTGGTTTTTCCTTTTTTC